TCTGACCAACTTGTGTGAATTGATGGCAGAATGGGGATTGTAAAAAGATAAACGTTATTAAAAAGAACAAGAGATAGGAAGTTGTAGAGAGCCATGATCTCCTCCTTTTTGAAATGGAATGGCAAATTGACTAGAATCTCGTACTTCTTGTTGGTGTATCTTCTTGAAGATTTCATTTGGTTGCTTTTCTGAGAACAAAATTTGAAATGTTAAAGTCACTTACCTTGCCTGAGGACTTTATTCCTTTGAAGACGCATAGAAAGACAATCACCCAACAAAGAAGAAGGCATAAGGCTAATTGCCATCGTATTGCTCCAAGATTTCCAATACTTCGACTCGTATGCAATACCCAAATACTAAAAAGAGAGAAAAATATCTGCATCTTACCATATTTCAAAACAGCCTCTTTAAAATACATAAATTTTAATAGCACTATCCTATCAATAACACTTTGTTTATTTTACTATTGTTCACTCAGTACAAAGCCTAAATGCCACTCAAGGTAGAAGGTCACTGAACGAGGATGTTGTAAGGGTGTACAGAGAGAATGCAAAGGGTTCATATAATGAGAATATGTAGGATAGATAACAGTTGACCCTTGACTTAAAGAGGTTAAGATTGTTGTTACGTATTGCTATTTGCATAGTAGTAGTCATAGTACAATTCTCAGTGTTCTGAATAGCAAATGGGTTTGTTAGTTATAGCTGTTTCCTATGTTCACTAGTTATTCTCTATTTATACTTGTCTATCCAATTTGCATACATTACTACAGTTGTAGTGACTGGGGAAGTACACCATCACTAATGCACACCACATTGCAATAGTTTTGGTTAAGAAGCTGTCCTAGTGGAACTTACTCCTTACTAATGGAATATGAAGTCAATTGCGTATGCGGCATGGGAAGTCCTAGCTGTGAAGGTCTGAACTGGCAGAACAGCCATTTTGAAATATATTGATTGTCTTATGCTACCAATAACACTTTTTTTCATTTTACTATTTTTCATTCAACAAATGCTTAATTGCCATACAAGGTATAGAGTTACTAAAGAGGATGTTGTAAGATAACAGTTGACCTTCAGGAGTCCGATTCACATTGTAACAGTTCTAGAGAAGAAGTTGAGTGGAAATCCCTCCTTTCTAATGCAATATAAAAGGAATGAGGATGAGCTGAGTCAATGTTTATGGCATAGCGGGTCTTAACTGTGAAGATCTGAACTGGTGGAACATTTTTGGAGAAGAAGCTGCCTGAATAGAACTTCCTCCTTACTAATGGAATACAAAGGAAATGAGAATGAGTTGACTCAGTGTACATAGCATGGTGGGCACTAGGTGTGAAGGTCTGAACTGGTGGAACCAAGGAATGTAATTTGCATGAACATCATCCATGAAAATAGTGGTACAGTAGCAAGAGGCTAGTAATGTTTTGTCTGCGGGGATAGGTTGAAAGATGGAAAGCTATTTATAACCTGCAAGGCTTCCCAAAAGCATTCATATACTTTCTGGAGCAGTACAATTTTAAAATTGCATTAATTCCTGATGTTTGACAATCCTCTTTTTTGATAATTTACAATGCATTTCTATCCCTCCTCCCTTCATTCGATTTGGGGTGTTAACATCTGCCGAGGAAGCAGAATGTTTTGTTTGTAAATTCTCTTCCAATTGTACTCTTGACACATCTGGAGTATCTTTGCCTGACTTTCCACTTAGAACTGAGTCTATGGAGTGATATGCATATTGATGGTTTATGCCATCATTTCTAAATTTGATCCCCATAATGCATGTAAACTTAATGATATCCCTGCAATAATCCTTAAGAAATATGACCCTGAACTGGCTCCTGTTCTCTCTAAACTCTACAATAGATGACTTGTTGCTTCTGGCTTCTCTGTATGTTAGAAATCCTCTTCTGTAGTTTCAGTCTTTAAGAAGTCAGGTGAACCATCTGATACTTCTATCAGCCTATTAGTCTTTTAACTCATTTTCGAAAAGTACTAGAGTATGTGCCTTATGCTGTAATGGATTTCAAGTTGGAATGTGATATCAGAGAGATGAGTTCAAATTCCATTTCAGTTTGTTACATTCGCTTATGTGAAAATACCCTTGGGAAAAGTATGAATTCATCTATTCTCCCTCCAGCTATGGGTTAAATAGCAGGATAAACCGGGTCCTGTATTCTTTGTTGGCAACCAGTCTATTATAATGGCAACCTACTGCAGGAAAATCTTCTGCTTAGTCAATCAAGAATAAAAAGAGACTGTATTCAATGTTGGATTGTGTAGCGAATATTTTTTGTGTGTTGCACTGTCAACACGCAGACCGTTCTTCCGTTTTGTTTGCTGAATAATGTTCTCACACACACACGTATATATGCATGATGGGGTCTGTGTAAGACTATGGTAGTTAAAATTGCTATTATTTTTAATTTTTTAAGGCTGATTTGTTATTATTTTAAAGCTGGTTATTTGCTTGTTTTCGCTGATTGTGCATATGTAAATGCTAGAAAGTCCAATTTGTAATACATAAGTATTTATGCAGTGGTATTAATTTCACCTGGGGAGGGAGAAGTAAGTATAATTGTGGACTGATAAGGTAAGGATAATTTTGGTGCCATAGTAATTGTGGACTAATGTGGTAATGGCAATTGTGATGTGGTAGTAATGGTGGGGGGAGTGGGTGGTGATAATAACAATTGTAGCAGCAAATAGTTATTGGAAAGTGGTAGAAGTGATCGTAGTACTGGTGGTGGAATGATAACAATAATTATAATTATTATGATGGTAGTTTGAACTAGAAAATAATTAATGGTGTTATGGTGTCTGTGGTTTCTCTTTTTTCATGTCTATAGGGTCAATAGTGGTTTATGTAGTAGTGTTGGTTGGTATTTTTTTATCTGCTTGGCATAAATTGTGATAATAGGTATTTGTTTTCGTGTCTGCATCTAGAAATTATTTCTGATGTTATGTTTAGTAAATTCTTTTGTTGGGTATGAGAAATTATTGCTACCTTTTCGTGTAGGCATTTCTTAGTAATGTTGTTGTAGGCAGGTGCTTTTTTTCAATATTTTCCAGCTTATTCTTGGTGTAATATTTCTGTCTTTTAGATGCCATATGTATGTGGATAGTGTAGTGCTGTTTGAGTATTTTCTGTTGGAGAATGAAAGGTTGTGGTTGTTTTTTCTTTTCTTGACTGGTCCTTCAGTGGCACTGATGTAATACATTGTGCTATTGTTTGCATTTACCTTGGCTTTATATATTATATTCATTTGTTGGCAATTTCCTTGGAGTGGACATGTTGCATTGGTGTTCCTTGGTTGCATTATTGCAGGTTGTTACTTTCTTGTTGTGGCTTTTTATTATTAGTGTTATATTTTTTTTGCATCTGTAACTGATTTTAAAATTATTTTTGTTGAATATTTTTGCTAAATCGGTTTGTTTTAGGGAAGTGCTTTTCTATTAAGTTTAGGAATGTCCTTCCTATGTTTGTTTTGACGGTTTTGTTGTATGGTGGGTTAAACCAGATGATGTTTTTCTGTTTCAGTTGTGGAGGTGTGTATTGTAGTTGTTGTGCGTATTCACTTTCTTTTAGTACTTTGTTACATGATGCTTTTTTTGTTATTGAAAATGTCTGTTTGATGAGTTTTCAGATAGTCTGCGGCTGATTGATATGGGTATTTGTTTGATGATTGAAGGTGGATGGTTGGAGGATGTGTGTATGTAAGTTGGGGTGTCTTTATCTTTTTTGTACGGTTTGTATGTATTTTTGTTCAGGCTGAGACTGACATCTAAGAACATCTATATATATATATATATATATATATATATATATATATATATAAATGGACATGAAGTCAACACTTAGAGGCGACAGTCTGTTTCAGGCCACCTGATGACTGCATCTAGCATGAAATGGACTGTCGCCTCCGAGTATTGACTTCAATGTTCACTTTTATATTTACACACGCTCTATCTCTGATATTGAGCACTTTATCCCATAAATATAGCACATCTTAAAACTATATTTCTTCATATATATATATATATATATATATCTTTTCATTTTTTGTTTCAACCTATGGAAGTAAAGTCTGATGATCAGCAGTCCTTTAAAAGGGCTGTGGTGAAATAATTTATTACATGGGACCTTAAAGTGGTCTGTTTTTATTTAAATTAAAATATATATATTTTATTATTATATATATATATATATATATATATATATATATATATATATATATCCAAAACAAAAAAGAACAGATGGAGTAAAAATCCATAGTTTGTAGCATTCATTTTTTTTAAAAAAAGTGCTCAATACAAAGTACAGCAAAATATTATTATAATATTTTTATTTTAATAAATTGCAATAAAGATATTTTACATTGCTACACAAAAAACTTTCATGTTTCAGTACTAAGATGGTACTTCTTCAGGCGGTGGTAGATAACTAATGATAAAAATGATTTATTAGGGAAATTTAAAAAACAAATCCTTACCTGTTTTCATAAGAGAGGAGGCATAAGATCAGAATTAAAAATCTACTTATGGGTATGTCTAGATTAATCAATGAACATCAGGTCTATGCTAAACTATAAAAATAAGGTCAGTGGGTGGGTTATTATTACATGTCAAAAAAACTGATGTTTAGACATGTCATTCAATGATACTAGTGAATAATTCCAGTGACAAATGTATTATTGATGTATCCAAGTATGATGTAAAATGTTTTTATTGTAATTTATTATAATATATATATATATATATATATATATATATATAAGAAAGAGATTTATTAGTCAACTTACTAGAAATATTCTTCACTCGGACTGTTAAATGTAACATTGGCTTCTAAGCTGCCAGAAGATGAATTTTCGGCAAACAGCGAAAATGAGGCATTCCACATACAATTAATGGGTACAGATATATTTGACAAATTCAGGTCGTGATCTCTGGAGTGGTTCATAACGTCTGAACAGTTTGGTAAATGATACTTCTCAGCTTTACAGTCTGAAATGGCAAAATAAATCATCACGTTAACAATCATATTAACTTCAATATATTATAAAAAGAATAGCAGTTACTCCATTACAAACTTTCTGCATGGGATTTTCCATGTGCGTATATAATGGTGATATTAACTGTTTCCTTATAAGGAAACATCTGGTATTCACTGACCAAGCATTGCTGTTGGTTGAAATTTATAAAATCTTTCTTTTAAAACATTTTTTCTGGAAAATAAGTTTCTCCAGTCTAGTTGCTGTCAACATCTTTTTTATGTCATTATTTTCTCAGTGTTGAATGTGCTATCCATTTTAGTTGTTGCTGCTCTTGAAAATCTTCAAGTGACATGGTTTCTGTTATTTGGTACAGTTGAAGTCCATGTGATATGCAAGGATGGGATTCAGAGTCTATTTCTTTAATTGTAGGTAATATTTATAATTAATCATGACTTTCTTTTAAAATTAAAAACAAAATAATGGTAGGCAATAATATTTACTATTTGTTAGTGAAAGCAAACTTTGGAACTGTCATACAAGTTAACAACAGTAGGTTTTTGTTATGACTAAAATGTCACTTAAATCTTTCCGTAAGTGCTTTAGCTTCATTTTATATATAGGAAGATTAAAAACAAAAAAAAAAACAAATCACACCAAAAATATCATGGAAAATAAGGAAAAGAACATCAGCCAACAACAATCAATACAAAAACTGTAAACTCTGGGTGGAGGAAAAAAATAACTACAATTATTTTTTCAGGCTAAAACAAACTACTAAATAAACAATCATCTCAAAATGCAGACATGAAAACAAATTTTTACTACATTACTTAAAAGTTGAAAACTGAAAACAGAAAAAAATAAATAATAATAAATGAACAAAAACAAGTAAAATAAATTAATCCACACAAATAAATAAGTAAATAAACTAAGTAAATAATAAACAAATTAAGAAACCACACCTACCAAAATAACCATTAGAATAAAACAATAGACTGCCCACAATGCAATAGAATACTCATAATACATCACTGAGCTGTGTATATAAAAAGTTGAGTAAAAACACAATGCACATGGTCTGATGATTGCATTTAGCATTTAACAGACTGTTGTCTCTAGGTGTTGTCTTCAATGTCCATTTTTATATTTACATACAAACTATTCCTTATATTGAGCACTTTACCCCATAAATATAGCACACCTTAAAATTATATCATGTGTGTGTGTGTGGGGGGAGAAGAATTATTTTCCACACTCCAACCTCTCTCTCTCTCACAGGTGGGATAGGGTAAGTCTCCCTGCTCTATTGCTACTACCATAGAAACTGCTTGAATGAACTGCATCTTCTGGTTCCACCAGGTTTGACCTTCACAGCTATGACCTGTCATGCCAATTACATTGTAGCAAACCACCCACATTCCCCCCGTGTTCCATTTTTTAGAAGTAAGTTCCACTCAAACAGTGTATTTCCACAAACCACTGCCCTATGGAACAGATTCCCTAGAGGATGTTCCCCCACCTTGATCGGTACAATCTTAACCTGTTCAAGTCTAGATTCAACGATTATCTTCCCTTCTTATCCCTGTAAACTACCCCTTATCATAACCCTCTACCCCCGAGTGGCCCCTGGGCCTTTTACAGGGTGAACCTTACTGTAGAAAAACAATATATATATATATATATATATTTTTCCTCACCAGTAGCACTACACTGAGTTTCATGCACAACATAATCTTCACGTACCGATTTAAAACTGACTATTATATAGGAGAGATGAATTTAACAGAATTTGACTTCATACTTCTGCTTTATATTTCTCTACAACTTTGCTCTTGACCTGTCTCCTGACCTCCTTGCTCTTCATGATGCTGTTTCTTTAAAAAAATGTAATGTAAAAAAAAAAGTAATGTTCTCTAAAAAGCCCACTGAGGCCTTCCCAGAATAGATGAATTTTGTTGGAGAGTACAGCTTTCCTTTACGCAAAAGAAATTGTCATTATCTTTTGGAATCTATTTATTAATCATGTCATTTCAGAAGGCAATTGATTTCTCGGTTTCATGCTAAAAAGGCATGAATACATTTACTGTAGTGAAAGAATACACTTACCATGCTGGGCAAAGTGGACTTGTACCTGTTAGACATGTAAATCCAACATGGCCGATGTCACGAGAAAGCAATGATATCACACATGGTCATGAGGAGCGGCCATTTGCAATTGCCCCACTACGCATGTGTGATGCTATTTTTTGAATACGATCAGAGTGTTTGGAAGTGTGACTGTTGGACAGTGTGGTTAATTTCTAGTGGTTTTATGTGCATAGGGATTCGTGACATTGGACCTATATTTTCTATATGGATTTTGCAATTTGTTTGTTTCATATTAACTTTATAACATTTACTGCTTTCCAGATTTTTATTTGTAACTAATTTTGAAAACCATGTATTGTAATTTTTTCCTTCTCACTTCAAAATGATGAACTATTTAGGGTTGGTTTATTGCATAAAAACTCAATAAAATAAATTTAAATTTGTGGTTGTAATGTGGCAAAATGTGGAAGGGTGTCCATAAAGGCCATTTGAAATACTTGTAGCTTTATAACTATACATGATAGAAAACCATCTACAAAAAAGATAAGAAAGAAGTACTGTATAAACTCACATATCATGTGACTTTTGAAGACCTAAATTTGAAGCTAATTTTAAGGGAATTACATCATGCATGAAATATAAAATTAGCATATGTACTACTGCAGGCTGATAGACATGAGCAGGCTGAGATAGAAAGATAGATATGATTTGAAAATTTTTAGGTCAAGGGAGAACAAAAGATACTCACTATGTTACTGGCCCTAAGAACCTGCTGATATTTTTTTTAATGGACTGTGATTGGACGGTTCAAGGGTGAACTCCCCCCCTTTGAAAGGCACAGGAGAACTGTGACTGGACCTTAGCAGCAGTTGATAACGAGACAGCTTAGAGAGAAGAGGTACATTTTCTCTCTCCCTGCTGAAAAGGCAGGCAGCATTTGCCCATAAGTAAGGATGCATGGGTAACAAGTTGTGAGGGTAAGTTTCCCCTTCAGAGAAAGTTTTGAGAAGTTCTCTCGAAGAAGCCCCAGAAAAGAAAGTTTGAAAAGAAGTCCGTAAGTGGAGTTTGGCGCCAAAGCCGTTTGAGAAGATGACGAAGGAGCGAACACGTGCGTTTTCAAAAACTATTTTGCCATGTGTTTATGTAAATTTCTACCTTCTAGTGGCCGTAAAAGAAAAGTGTAATTTCCAGGCAGATGGGAAGAAAATAAGTGAAGAAAGAAGGGAGTTGGTCACCAGGAAGAGAACTTTGTCTACACAAGAGAGAAAAGAAAAAGTATAAAATCTTTTGAACCTTGAAAGGACTGAAAGTGTACTGAAGAGCTAAGGCTCTTCCCCCTTTTTTATTGTTATCAACACAGCAGGTAGGCACTATTCTTTTTTGTTGTTTTTTTTGGTGCATTGTAATTTTTAAGTTTCTTTTACTTTTCTGCTATGTTGTTTTTTTTTGTTTTTTTTACATTGTGTTACTCAGAGAATAGGTTATCTTATTCTCAGCAAAAAGAGACAAATTTTTGCAAGAACCCTTATTTAGCTGGTTAGAAATAAATATTTTTTCTTTGTAATTGAATCTGATTTGCATTTTTTTCTCTCTTTTTCGTTATTAATTCGAGCAGTAGTGAAAATACTGCTGCAGAAGGTTTTATTTTCTTTCAGAAAATAAAATTTCCGAAAATGAGCAGGTTGAGATAGAGAGAGATACCATATATACCTGCATATCATAAGATTTTTGAAGACCTAATTTTTATGCTAATTTTAAAGAAGCTGCATTATACACAAGATATAAAATTAGCATATGCACTGTTGGCTCTGGTTACGCTGTTGACCAAACTATATCTCCGTTTATTGTAGTCAAATTAGCTTCAAAAATATGTCTTCAAAGGTTACATGATATATGAGTATATACAGTACTTAGATTTATTATTGGGATTGTTTATTTTCAACATGTCCACCACCAGTTACACATACAAAGGGTAATATGATTCTGTAGTTTCCAGGAATAATTTTGAAGCTGATTTTCAAGAATACTGTCAATCACATAAATTAAGCTAGCTTGCATTTCATCTAAAGATCAAAATTTAGTTGAATAAACATTACTTTACACATGTCCCCATAAAAAGAAATCCAATGGATTTGGCAATTGTGGAAGCCAAGATAATGGTCAACCTCTTCCAATCCACCTGTTAGGGAATTTTTCATTTAGAAACTAAAGCAAAATGACCATCTTGCTGAAACACTGTGCATTGTTTATCAGTTCTAAATGGTCAACCTCATTTTGCAGCATTTCTAAATAGCGATCACCATTAACAACACACACTTCACAAAAGAATGGTCTTATGATTTGAGATTTTCCCAAAAGCACACCAGACATTAACTTTAGGAGAATGTCTTTAATGTGCAACAAATTCCTGTGGCTTTTCAGTCCCCCAAATACTGTGGTTGTACTTGTTGTACTAATATGGTATATTGCATCATCAGAAAATAGTGAAATTATTCAAAAATGAAAGAAAAAAAAGTTGAAAAAAAAAATAAAAAAATAATAGGTAACACAAATAAATTTTCTGATGACAAGAAAAACTCAGCATATCAAGCTTTCTTATGCTTCATACAGATCATTTCTATCATGTATAGTTACAAAGCTACAAGTATTTTAAATTGTGTATAGATTTTATGGATACCATTATATAAATGGTTGTACTCGCTTTGAAAAACCTTGGGTATTTTGACTTGTAGTAGAACAAACCAGCACCCAAGGAAAAATGAGGAATAAATAAAGAAAGAACTATGAACATGAAATTGAGGCGAAAACAATCGTCCAGAGTTCAAGCTCAGAGTCCAAAGAAAAAAAAACCCTCCAAAACAAGTAAAAAGTAACTACGTAAAGTGCTCAATACACGAGTAGAGCAAAACCTAAGATTATTGC